TTTGTGCATCTCGTTTGTTTTGAGTTACTGCAATTCTGCTTTGTTCATGCAAAACAGCACCTTCTTTGATGTGGGCATGTCATGGTGGGCAGTCTTAAGCCTATATCTCTCATGTCTCACAATCGATTCCAAAGATCTTCAGAGAGATCTTTAGGGAGTCCTTGTATCTCTTCTTCTGACCACCATGTGAGCACCTACCTTGAGTGAGTTCTCTGTAAAAACATAAGTTTGACATTTAAACAATGTGGCCAGCCCATAGGAATTGTGCTCTCTGCAGCAAAGTTTGAATGCTTAGCAGTTCAGCTCAAGAAAGGACCTTAGTGTTCAGTACCTTGTCTTGCCAGATAATCTTCAAAATCTTGCTAAGACAATTTTTTTTTATTAATTTATTTTGATTTATCAATAGTCACTTCCATATGCTTTTGAGTTTAAAATTTTTCTCCCCCGGCTGCCCCACCACCCTCCCCAAGATGGTGCATAATCTAATATAGGCTATACATTTACATTCATATTAAACATATTTTCACATTAGTGATGTTATAAGTAGAAATTAAAACCAATAGGAGGAACCATCAGAAAGAGGAAACAAAACTCAACAGAAGAGAAAAAAAATAACAATTCAGCTTCCATAGTTCTTTCTTTGGGTGTGGATAGCATTTTCCATCACAAGGCATCTGGAGATGTCTTTTCCTAAGAAATTTAAATGGAAGCGATTCAGTTTCCTAGCATGGTACTACTGATAGACTGCCCAGGTTTCACAGGCTTACAACAATGAGGTCAGCATTATGGCTCTGTACACCTTCAGTTTGGCAGGCAGTCTAATATCTCTTCTCTCCACACTTGCCTTCAGAACCTCCCAAACATTGAGCTAGCTCTGGTAATGCATATGTCATCTATGTGTACAACCCTGAAAATATACTGCCAGGGTAAGCAAACTTATCCACAGAATTCAAAATTTCTCCATTGGCTGTAACTGATGGTTCCATATATGGATGGTATGGTGCAGGCTGGTGGAGAACCTGTTTTCTTGGTGTTAATTGTTAGGCCAAAATTAGCACAAGCAGTAGAGATTCAATTTATACTTTATTGCACATAATCATCTGTGAACAAAAAGTCAGTCGTGCACTGATTCTTTCTCTACTTTAGTCTTGGCTCGTAGCTTTTTCTTTTTTTTAAATTTTTTTTTTAATTTTTAACATGTGTTTTTAAAACTTTGGGTTACAAATTTTCTCCCTTCTTCCCTCCCCACTCACCCTCATTGAAAAGGTAAGCATCTCGATATAGGTTATAGATGTGTAGTTATGCAAAACACTTCTATAGTAGTCCTGTTGTGAAAAACTAAGTGTATTTCCCTTCATCCTATCCTACCCCCCATTTATTCTATTCTCTCTTTTGACCCTGTCCCTCCTCAGAAGTGTTTGCTTTTGATTATCCTCCCCTCAATCTGCCCTCCTCTCTATCAACCCCCTTCTCTCTTGTCCCCTTCCCACCTTATTTTCCTGTAGGGTAAGATAGATTTCCATACCCCATTGTGTATGTTATTCCCTCCTTAATTGGCTCGTAGCTTTTTCAAGTTAAATAGTTTATCATCATCGTGGTAGCTGACTTTTATGCCGTTTTCATCTTCATTGAAGGTGTACACATCACAGAAAACATCACACTAAAAAGCTTGGGAGCAAGCACACAAGCTCTGCTTCACTCCACTGGTGACTGAGAAAATGGGAGAGCATCCTTCATTATCCAGAATCCATGCATGCCATCTTGAAACTGGTGTACAATGCTGATAAGCTTTTCTGGGCAACCAAATTTCTCCATGATTTTTTATAAACTCTCATGACTGACAGTATCAAAAGCCTTAGATCAATGCACATTGTGCACAGACCTCTGTCCTGCTGCTGATATTTCTCTTGGAGTCATCAAGGAGCAAACATCATGTCAACCATTCCTTGGCCCTTTCTGAAGCCACACTGGCTCTCAAGTAGATGACCATCTTCCAGGTGAAGGATCAGCCAGTTAAGGAGGAGTCTGGCAAGAATCTTGCCAGCAAGGACTAAGAGAGAGACCCCTACCTGTCATTGTCTCAGAACAACCTATTTCCTTTTCCTTTATAGAGGTGAACAATGTAGGCATCCTTGAACTCCTGTAGGATAACCTCTTGCCATATAACCAGGAAAATTTCAGGCAACTTTTATATGAATAGTGAACCCCCTGCCTTCACTTTGCATTGGCCCATGCAATTTTTTCCAAGTTTTTTGAAAGCATCCTGCTTGTCATTTCTTATAGCACAATAATATTCTATCACAATAATATATTACTACTTGTTCAGCCATTCCCCAATTGATGAGCATCTCTTCAGTTTCCAATTCTTTGCCACCACAAAAAGAGCTGCCATAAATATTTCTGTACATAATGGTCCTTTTCCTTCCTTTTCTTTTGATCTCTTTGGGATACAGACCTAGTAGTGGTATTGCTGGGTTAAAGGGTATGCACATAAACTTATCATTTTCTAAAAAGAAATAGCAAGTGGCAATGTTAAAGAAGCAAATGAAGAAAAAAATCACCTCTTTATTTTCACCAGTCTCTAGCTGAAATATGGCATTTCTTTCAATTATGAATTTTAAAAAATTATTCTGAGAAGGGGTCCCTAAGCTTCACCATGTTGCCAAAGGAGTCCAGGACAAAAAGCAAAACAAACAAAAAATAACCAAACAAAGGTTAAGAAACTCTGTTCTAGAAGAATCTATAGACCCTTTTGAAATCTTTGCTTGTTTTAAAAGAATGAATCAAACAGTTTTATAGCAAGTTTGTCAGTTATCGAGGTTGCTTTTCATTTTCAACTGTATTTTCCTTTTTTGTGTCATTGTAAGCTCTGATGATCTTTGAAACATTTGATTACCCAATAGCTGCTGCAATGTTTCCAATGGTCATGGAAGTGTACTTTCTAAGAGCTACACTTGTAAATTTCCTTGGAGTAATATCAATTCTTTAAAAACCATATAATTAAAAACACAACAAAAAAGAACAATGAAACACTAGTGTATCCAACAGTCAACTGATAAAGAAATAGCTAAAGGCTTTGGAAACCAGATCAATCTAGTTTCATCTGGTCGAGGTCATATATTTTGAGTCAGTCTTATCAGAGCAAGATACTAGTGCTGTAAAAAATGAAACCATATCAAAATTATTGCTTGTTCCAAGAAATTCACTGACCACTATATATGTTTTGTATATACTTATAGATGTGCTTGGTACATGCCTGTATGTGTATAGATTGTCTCCCCTCAGAATGTAAGTTTCTTGAGTTCTGGGACATTTTGTTTTTGGCTCTGAATACCTAGCACCCAACCTTGTGCTTGACACATAGCAAAGTTTAATAAATGCTTTTTTTTTTTGGTGAGGCAATTGGGGTTAAGTGACTTGCCCAGGGTCACACAGCTAGTAAGTGTCCTGTGTCTGAGGTCACATTTGAACTCAGGTCCTCCTGACTCCAAGGCTGGAGTACTATCTACTGCGCCACCTAGCTGCCCCCTTTTTTGTTTTTTTTTGGTTAGGCAATGGGGTTTAGTGACTTGCTGAGGGTCACCCAGTTAGTAAGTGTTATGTATCTGAGGTCACATTTGAACTCAGGTCCTCCTGAATCCAGGGCCGGTGCTCTATCCACTATGCCACCTAGCTGCCCCTAATGCTTTCTAATATAGAGGAAATGTACAAGACCTATGTGCTGTATGGGGTAAACATCTTCCTAGAAATACCCTCAGAGGTTAAAGAAGTATATTTTGAAGAGCTGTATAAAAACAGACTCTCAGTCTGATTCCATCTCAAAGGGAAGACTTCACTGTCCTTAGATCTTCGGTCCCATCTAGATTTTCTGATGGTCTGATGAGATTAACTACCGGCGGGCACACCTACCCAAAACAAATCTGATCTTGGGCTATATACCAAGATCACTGCAAAATTAAGATGTTCATCCTTTACCTAGAAAAAAAAAATACCTAACTTTCTGTCCCTATTACTCAACTTCAGAAATAAGGAAAGTGGCTGAGCAGCCTCATCTAATAGACTCATTTTGCTGCCTGCCCTAAAGTTGTGTAAAATCCTATATATGTGTATATCTTCCTCTATTCTGAGGAGTTGCTGGGCACCAGGCAACTGCCCATCAGCTGATGCTAATTAAACTTTATCATCTAGCCTGGCCTCCAAACTATTGACCTTCATTCAGTCAAATGGATTTAGGTGGGAGAAATTACTCTCCAGAATGAATTTAGGATCCCTGGGCCAATAATCTGATTGAATGGTTGGATTAGAAGCCACGATGGTGCGTGTGAGAAAGTTAAAAACACCCTGTGATGCATTCCTCTTTCTTTTTACTCCAAACCCTGGGAAGAACTATAATTTTTGGTTATAATTTTTGGGAGGGGAGTAGGGGAAGAGAAGTGTGAGGACATGCCCATTCTGTCTGTAGTTTAATAACATATTAATAATAGGATAAGTCGAGTGCTAGGCGTATGGAGGGTGGAGAGGGTGAACACACCCCAATAAGGAGGAGTAGGGGTTACAAGATACACCCCATGTGAGGGAGGAGAAATAAAAGAGGGGAGGGGAAAAACAGGATAGAAACTGCCCCACGAGAAGATTGTCAGGACTTAGCCCCAGGGGCAGGAGGGCAAAGAAGACAGATCTGAGAGAAGGGAAGGGCCCCACCAACTACAACGTTTTTGGACTCGTGTGGAACTCTTCATCATTCCCTGAATCCTGGCGGCGGGAGAGAACATAAGACCCGCCCCCGGAGGGGAGGGAAGGAAGACTGGAACCCTGGGGTGGAGGAGGGACAGGTGGTAACCACAGTAATAGACCAGGAGGCGGGGCACATGGGACACGCCCCCAGGGGCTGGAGCTAGCACAACACAGGACCCCGGAGGGGAGGCAGGGAAGACTGGGACCCTGAGGGTGGAGGAGGGGCAGGGAGAATCGACTGTAACAGATCAGGGGGCGGGGCATATGGGACACGCCCCCGGAGGGGAGGGAGGGAAGACAGGATACGCCCCTACCCCAGGTGTCCCGCCGCCTTCCCCCTCCCTTCAGGGACAATTCTGACAATCTTGGGTTTCCACTTCCCGAGCCCATTAAGTGTCTTCCCAGTCTTCACTCCCCCCAAAATGCGGCAACACTGCCCGTGATCCTGGGTCTGGAAGCCAGGGTTGGCCGTCTGTCTCCCCCAGGAGGGCTCCGGAGGAAAATATCCGCGGCGCCTACTTCGAGTCCTCCCAGGCCCGGGAGGAAGATGGCGTCCACCATTGCGAGAAGCCCTGCCTGCCCCTCTAGCCGCAGCTAGTCCCGTCTCTATGGCCTCCACTGAGTTCTAGTTCTACTTAAAGGGGAACTTCCCAGGATGCATCGCAGCGGTCCCCGGTTCTCGCTAAGATGGCGACTCCCATGCATCGACTTATAGCCCGGAGGCAGGCGTAAGTGAGGACCCCCGGCGGCGAAGGCATTTCTCCATTCTCTTTCCTATAACCTTCTTAACTTTCTTTGAGGACCCCTCAAGGGCCCTGGGAAGTGGGGTTCCCTGTGTTGGGAGGGCACCGAATGGGGTGAGCCGGGGCGGGGAGGGAGACAACCCTGATGTGGGCCCCGGGGAGGACCCCCGGCAGGCAGCCCGGGGAGAAGGAGGGGGCGCGGGAGGCCTCCCTTTAGCGAGGGAAGGAACATCCAGGTGTTTGCAGAAAAGGGTGACGCGAGCAAGTCTGCGGGGGTCACTGGCATAGGCATCTTTGTACGCCCCTGCGACGCTCCTGTTGGCTCCAGTCCGTAGGTTTAAAATTTCTCATTGTTTTCTTTTCGTCTTCTCTCATTTTCTAGTACGTGATGGAAAAAACCCCCAATTTAGAGCTTTTTTAAAGTAGGGAAAATTACATGAGAAATGTGCTTATTAGCTTCAGTTACCTTATTTATGTATTCACAAAGCAAATGTGCTATCGAGGAGTCTATTTAACAACAGGTAAAGGATAAGAGGTCAAGAAGAGTCAGACACGACTGAAAATGGACTAAACAGCAACAAAAGGATATGATCGTGGAAAATAACAAATGTCAGTTCGGTAAACCCAGAAAAAATATTTTGTAGATCCTGAGAGTCTCATTCTAAAATAGAACTTGAAGAAGCTGTGAGATTCTAAAAAAAAAAGTTAGTATCGATTTTTAAAAGCAAATTTGAGGATTCTGATCATTATGTAAATTGTAGACGCTTAGAAAATATTATAATTAAAACCAAGACACAAAAATCCTGTGTAAAAGAAGTAAACATAACTATTTTCCTTTATCAGATTTTTACAAATGTAAATAGTCTCATTAAATTTATTTTGGGGGGCTCTTTTTTTTTGCTTTTCATTGTGTAAGTACAAAGAAATATACACAAGCACAAAGTTGTACCTGTTGAATAGGTGGGCAGAAATTTTACAGATAATACTTATTTGGAATTGAAATAAGTTAAAATGTATTTATGCTTTATTTATTCTCACTATACTTCCAAAACTTGTATTGGAACCTTAACTTGGAAATATGCCCCTTTTTTGTATTTAAAGGACGCATTATAAATTTTAAAGGTTAAGTCAACAAGCATTTATTAAGGGAAGGGTTAAGAAATCCTGAATGGTAACACTATATTCTTGGTTGGGTTGTTTTCAGTTCTGTCTGACTCTTACTGACCCCACTTGGGGTTTTCTTTGCAAAGATACTGGAGTGGTTTGCCATTTTCTTCTCCAGTTTATTTTACAGATGAGGACTAAGGCAAACAGGGTTAAGTGGCATGCCCAGGATCACATAACTGGTGAGGCTGGATTTGAACCCAGGAAGATGAGTCTTCCTGATCCTAAGCCCAGTGCTCTATCCACTGCACCACCTAGCTGCCATGGACCTTAATATTTTCAAGACCATCTTACTTAAAATTAGAACATTATCCAGTGTTCTTTCAGCTCATGTTCTTCTAGCTAACACAGACTCACACTATTATAGTTATTTGAGAAGAAACCTAAAATTTCTAGTAATATCAGGGAAGGCAGCAGTAGGGACCAGCTTGGGCCCTATTCTTGGCTACCACCAAACCTATTCCAACTTGGACTTAGCATAGAAAAATTTTTCTGGCTTCTATAGGCTTAGCTTCTAGAACCACAACAAATCTGTTGGGCCATGTAATTAAACTCCTGCTAATATGCTAAGCTCAGTTTTAGGTACTATAACGTGAAGGACAAAAAACAAATATAGGGTATAGTCTTTATCCTTTAGGTGTTTACCATATCAAAAAATTATTAAGCAAATAGTGTGTATTAATAATTAGTAATGTATTATCAAATGTTTGTATAGTTCAGATATGCACTATAGGAATTTAGGAAATAAAAAGATTTTTTAGCTAATATGGAAACATTGTACCCTTAACTGAGCTTTGGAAGGGAAATACAATTTAGGTTGGTAGAAAGAGATGGGAAGGCAAGCCATACAACAAACAACAGTTTGAGTAAATGAAACCAGATGGGAACTTGGCTTATATGGGAACCAGTAATTGGATTAGCCTGATGAGAATGATGGGAGCTAGAATTTTCTAAGTTAAATGGATTCCATTGATAAAGACTGTTTCAGAGGAAGAAAGGATAAAATTTTAGAAAACTTTGTGAAAACTCTGAAACTTTAAAAATTTACTCATTTTGATAGTTGGATAGATCGATAGATCTCATTCATGTGGTACTCCCTACACCAATGTAGATCACACACCTTCTTTTCCTGAATAAATCTTTCCCGTACTTTTATACTTCAGTGAATTTGTGATCTACTTGATGTGGGTTACCCTCCAGTAATGCACATCACAACCCATAAATGCCCTGTCATTATGTGTGACTCTTATCTGTGTCGTCTTGTAAATCTTCTATAGGAGATCCACCAAATGTTTTGGGGCTTTCCCTTAAATGTCTTGTTCATTCATGGAACAGTGTACCAGTGGAGTACATCAGTCATCCATTCCTTCCTTTCTTGACATAACTTGCCCATCTTCTTTTCTTTCTAATGACTTCTTTTAAAGATTTTTGTCCATGTCTTCCACAGGTGTTCTGTTGAGGGTCTACCTAATGTAATGGAAGCTTTCTTCTAGATCTTTTAATATTTTATGAACATCATTATAGTGTTTGGAATGTCCATCTGTTATTTCTTACTCTCCCAACATTAGTAGCCTTATTCCTTTTAAATCATACATTTACTTAATAATCTTTCATGACTTTTTTGTGTGCAAGTCATCATTAGCAATATTCTCTTATCTATTTCAGAAAATCGTTTTCGATTAAATATTTATTAATACCTACAACATGCAAGAGATTATTCTTAATATCAGAGATTTTTTAAAAAAGACAGTCCTTACCCTCATGGAGCTTACCTTCTACTGGAAGGAGATACAAGATAATTTGATGAGGGAAAAGGCATAAACAGCTAGGGGAATCAGGGAATATGTTACTGTTGAGGTGCCATCTGAGATGAATCTTGAAGGAAGACAAAGATTCTGAGAAGTGGAGATGAGGGAGTGACTTTCGGAAGTGTGGGGTATGTTTTTACAAATGTACTTGGTCAGAAAATGGAACATCAAGTTCAGGGAAGTCTAATTTGGTTAAAACAGATTGTGAAGGGGAATAATGTTGAAAGTATGAAAAAATAATTTGGAGAAAGGTTATGGAAAGGCTTAAATGCCAGGCTGAGAGTTTTATTTTGAAGGCAGTGAGGAGTTTTGGAGGCTTTTGAGCAGGAGAATGACTTGGTCAGAATTATGCCTTCGATTATTTTGACAGTTGTGTGAAGAGCGGATAGGAGAAAGATCGGAAGAAGGGACACTAATTAGGATGCTATAATAGTCCTTATCAGAGGGCTTGAACTAGTTTGGTGGCTGTGTGAGCAAGGAAGAGGGAGTAGATATGAGAGGTATCAGCTGATTGGATGGAGGAATGATCATGAGGAAAGGATGAGGCCATAGTCATAAAACTGGGTGTCTGGGAAGACAGTGCCCTAAATAGAAACAGGAAATTTGTAAGAGAGAAGAGATTTCCTGTTAGAGCCTGTCATGTTTTGAGTTTGAGTTTGAGATGTCAGTATGACATCCAAAAGATTTTTGCCAGAGAGATTGTCTGGTTATATAGATTTGGGAATCAGTTGTACAGAGATGATTGAACTCTTGGGAAGTAATGAATTTACCTAGGGAGAGAATATAGAAAGCAGAGAAGACAGAGCCCTGGAGGCAGGAGATAGATAATTAACCAGCAAAGGAAACTAAGAAGGAGAGGTCCAGGGGAGAGAGAAATGCTGGGGAGGAGATGGTATGCTGAAGGAGGAGCTGGTTAACAACATCAAAAACAGCAGAGGTCAAGGAGAATGAGGACTGAGAAGAGGACATTGGATTTAGCAACTTTTTATTCCAAAGGACCAATGATGAAACTTCCCTCTCTCTTCTGTAGAGAGAGATGGTAGACAGACTATGAGTGTAGAATGAAGTATACTGTTTCAAACTTGACCAATGTGTAGATTTGTTTTGCTTAACTGTACTTTGTTACAAGGGAGAGTTCTGTTGTGCACAGTGGGGATTATTGGGAAATGAAAAAACATTAGTAAAACTTTTTTTAAAAAATTCTTTGGTTCGTTGGTTACCTTGAAGAGAGCAAATTTTGACAAGTGTTATGGGTGGAAGCTAGATTGTAAGTAGTTGAGAAACTAGGTGGGGAGGAAGTGAAAGTATCGAGTATATATGACTTTTTCTAGGCATAGGGCAGTGAAAGGGAGAAAGATCTAGAATAAGAGCATGGCAGGATCAAGTGAAAGTTGTTTTAAAGATGGCAGAGATCTGAACAGCTTTGAGCATCTCTGTACTTGGGTCTATCTCACATCTATTTCTCTTAGGGTCACCTACATTTTTGATTCTCCAGACTAGTATGGCTTACAACTCCATGGCTTACAACTATGTAATATCATCTAGAAGATATTGGAGTTAAAAGGAAGAGATTTTTTTCTTTTTTGGGGGTGGGGATGGTCAGGAAATAGATTGAGACCTCTGAAAGCTCTGCGCAATTTAGATATTAAAAAAGTTTACCCCGTCAAAAGAAGTTCACTACCACCTTTTTTTTTTTTTTAAAGCTGGATCCATTCAATCAATGTTGTGATTGTTCAAAAGTGGACAAAACAAAAGTACATTGTACCTGGTTCTTTAGTTCAATATAAGGAACAGAGAGAAGGAGCTTACCTCCTTCCCCCTTTTAAAAAAAATGATTTTGATAACTTCTGTTTCTGCATTATCTTTGTTTTCCAAATATATTCTTGTCCTCCCCACTGCCATTCTCAGAGAGATTCCTTTGTAACAAAGAATTTAAAAGGAGAGAAAAAAAGGGGGGGAAAAGCCCCAAGTTCAGCATAACTAACTGGTATGTCAGTAGAGTCTGATAGTATATGCAATGTTCTGTACTCTTACTCCCTTCTGAAAAGAAGGGAGGGAGTGTGAATTTTCTTCAAGGCCAAGCACTATTATAATTTCTGAGCATTCAGTTTCAGGGTTGTGTTTTTTGTTGGTTTGTTTGGTTCTTTTCATTTATACTGCTCTTATCAGTCTATATATATTGTTTTCTTGGTTTTGCTTATCAATTAGTATGCCTTTCTGTGATTTTCATACTTGTTTCTTTTGGCAAAGTATGCACCATTACATTCATGTACCAAAATTTGTTTAGCCATTCCCTAATTGATGAGGATCTATTTTATTTCTAGTTCTTTGCTATTTTTAAAGGCACTGCTATAAATATTTAGATGTATATAGAATAGAACTTACCTTTCTTTTACCTCCTTGGTGTAGATTACTACAAAACAAATTCCAGTTTCTATTTAGGGCACTACTGGGTCAGTGGATATGGACATTTTAGTCTCGTTTATAGCATAATTCCAAATTGTTTTCCAGAATGATTAGACTAATTCACAATTTCACCAACAGCATATTAAGTTTTGTTTTTGGCCTAGAGAATCTTTTAAATAATTTTTTTTTGTCTATTTAATTTTCTGGCTACTTTTTAATACTTTGCAGTCCCATTCTTTTGTTAAGAATCATTGGAAATCTGTTTTAAACCCTTTAAGCATAAGAAAAAAGAAATTGGTTTGTAGATTTTTTTTGAACCATGCCATTAAATAATGAATTTATATTAGTTGGGAAGAGAAATTTTTGATTGACTTAAAGCATCTTAGAAATGAGAGATGGAGAAAATGTCAGTTTGAATTTTTTGAGAAGGTTGCCAAGTCTAATAAAAAGATTTTCATAGATATCAGTGCAACATGCAGGCTGTCCCATCTGCTTTCCATGTATTACTGGCCCCCCTCATTTTCCAGTCATTGCTACTTGTTCTTGATGATGTATTTTATGCCACTTCTTGCATACAAGTCATCTAGAATGCTGATTGATTAGATAAGGACAGTGTTATTTGTAAAAAAAAAAGAGAATATGACAAAAAGCTGTCCCATCAATTGGGACTTCAGTATAGATTCTGCCAAGGATTTCCTCCGTGATCGTGGACAAATTTGGCAGATATACTCCTAATTTATGCCTCAGCTGGTATTAATAATTAGGAGCATTGATACTTCTCTCTGTGGTGGCATCTATTAAGGACTCTTAGGTTATCTTCACAGATGTACAAGAGTTGACTTTTTAGAGGAGAGCCTTTAAGACTTATCTAAGTTTATATGTATGTATATATGTGTGTATCTTTATCTCTGTCTCTGTACACACATGTGCAATCAATAAAAAATAAACACGTGCTATTATATTCCTAACACTAGGACTGGTTTTATTTTTGTTTTTTGTCTTTCATCATATCCCCAGTGCTTAGCACAGTGCCTGATACGTAGTAGGCACTTAATGAATGCTTGTTGACCAACTTGACTGAAGCCTTCCCTAATCTTCTCCCTTCTGAATGTCAGTGCTTTTTCCCTCCCCAAATTACTTATACTTATTTGTATATCTCTAATAGACTCTTGGAAGACAGAGTTCTTTTACTTTATTTTTGGTGTTTGTATCCCTGTCTCCTGACATAGTGCCTGCAATGTAGATGTTTAATAAATGATGGCGGTTGTTAGATGTGTGCCTGTGAAAATGTGATCTGCTGTAAAGAATCATCTGGAAAATAACTCATCCTGTTTTGTTTTCATCAGGTACAACTTAGATAGGTACATTAGCCATACTCATCAATATCTTATAGAAATAAGAAGACATGTGAGTCAGTAGTTAATGAATAGTGGAAAGAGTGCTGGCTTTGTAGACAAGAACACTTGTGTTCAAATCCTGGCTATGCCACTTGGTATTTGTATGACCTTGGACAAGTCATGTAACCTCTCTAATCCTTAGTTTCCTCATCTATAAAATGAAGGACTAGATGATCTCTGAATTCCCATGTAGCTGTAGAGCTATGATCTTATGAGATCTCTTCAGTCAACTTTTTTTCCTTTGGTAATACCATCTATGATCTTTTCCATTCATAGGGGATATTCCTCTTTGAAACATCTTAAAAATCAGTCTCTGAGTGCCTTTAAAATTGTGTTGCTTATGGAACAGATTTTCCTGTATGCATTTGGTCAAATGTAGCCATTCTTCCCAATCTCTTTACTGCAATTTCCACTATATCAAGTAGTGAGATATTAACCATCCAAATGTGATTATGTTCTCATTGATAAGTATAGAGATATAATAATGTAAGCAGGTCTGTTTTATTTCATGTCTGTTTGTTGTCCACTTAGTGTTACCTATAAATGCTTAGTTGGAAGCCAAACTTTGGCAAACTTATTTTGCTTTCCACTGTTGTCTTACAAAACAATGTTAGAAACTTTTCATCTTCTCTCATCTTCCTTTATAATATTTTGCAAATAAGCTTGTATTTTAAATTAGTGTTGCCATATAATATAGCTCTTCTAAAATAAAAAAAATAAGAATTTGCCAGTTCAAGTTTCTTACATTCTTTTACATTGGCTGAACTTCCATAAGATTTTTGAAGATCACAGGGTCGTCTTTTGTTCATTTTTCTATTTTTAGAATCAACAGCTTATGTATGCCAGGTTAAAGCCATTATGATTGGATTTTCTTCTCATCTTGATCCTTTATTCTAATTTGGTGGTATTTTTTTTAACCTATTTTCTAACCAATCTGACTGCTTACAGACTGCTCATTCTGAAATTCTTATTCCCTTGTGACAAGCTTTGAAATGATAGCCTTTCTAAAATATGATAGTGTCCATTGTTTCCTATTTCCCATACCTTTTGGTTCTCTTCTGGAAGAAATTTATGCTACATTGGCACAAGACTTCTAAATATTCTACAAACCTTTGACCACTTTGATTTTTTAATCCTGAACCATGTTTTCTGACATTTCTCCATTCTTCCATGCCCATGTTAATATCAAAATCACTGAGTATCAGAGTATATGTGGATTTGGTTTAGAGAGTCACGTCAAGTTCCTCGGAGAATTTAACAACCTCATCCTCTGCAACAGATGTTGGTACATAAACTACAATTATCTTCATGGTGGTCTTTTTGCTTATTTAACCATAAGCAATATACGGTGAGTTGACCAGAATTGATGTTTCTTGTTGCCTTTGGGCACGTGATGAAACCAACTCCACAAACTCCTTTATTTGTCTCCAAGGAAAACCTGTGAGCCACCCTTCCATTTAGCTGCAACTTATTTTTTGTCTTCTGGTTTCATTTATAGTGAGAATGTCAATATGAATATGAACCAGATAAAAGGTAGGTTTTCCTTTAGTATTTATGAATAATATGTCACATTTAACTGTTTTGCTCATTGCTCATCACCTGAGACAGTCTTTAACTCGGGATTCACACATAAGCTTTTGGAAGTCTGACCAGCCTGGGAGAAATTAATAAACTAAAATCCCACCGTATACCATCTATGCTTTATTAATCTAGTGCTATAGGTAATTTAATGGTCTTTTTCTCCTAGAATATTTCAGTAGAAATGAAGATCCAAGTATTTCCTATTGGAATGTCTCCCCTCTCTCCAAAAAATTATATTTGAAAGTTATTCCTGCTCTTGTTGAGATAGCACCAATGATTGAATCCAAGATGAAACTTAGAATTAGTTAGAATCCTAGAACTGTGTCCCTTAAAATTTCTTATTGCTTATGTTTAAAGGCAGGTCATGTCACCTTTGTAAGTCTCACCTTATTGTTGTCTAATATGTATTGCTCTTGTAGGGAAGCAAATAAGCAACATGTGAGATGTCAGAAATGTTTAGAATTTGGACATTGGACATATGAATGCACAGGAAAAAGAAAATACTTGCATAGACCTTCAAGAACAGCAGAACTTAAGAAAGCTTTAAAAGAAAAAGAAAACAGATTCTTATTACAACAAAGGTAAGTTTACCAGATCAGTTATATGATGTTAAAAAGAAGAAACATATTTTCTTTTGTGTTTATTAAAGAGTTAAATGTTTAATATGCTTTCTCTAGCTTGAACATTCCTATGAAATAAGGAATGTATAGACAAGCTAAGATACAAGGTAGAGTCCTTTTTTCTACTTAGTGAAGATCTTGAGTGGGATACTTGTGAACTCTTTACAATAGCAAAATGTCATTGATCTTTAGGCTCAGATTTTAAAGAATAAAGTAGTAGGTAGCTAATCAGGCTCACTAGAGGTTTTATTTTGTTGGCATTTTATCCATAGCACAAAATGAAAATGCCATAAAAGAAATACTATCTCAAGAACATAAGGGATACCTTTTTATATTTGGGCTCAATAGATAATGGCTACAGCTACTGATCGAATGATGATTAAATGGTGAATGTGTGTCTATCTTAGATCTGGTAAATGCATGTGGATTGATGTAGGCCATGTAGTTTTGAGTCTCATTTCACCCTAAATATGGCACTTCAACAAATAATATTTTTCATTTAGTTACCATAATTGATCTTGACTTTCTTAAAGATCTTAAACTCACTGAATGGAATAATAAGAGAGGAAGTTAGCAAGAAAGCATTATATAATAGTTGTAGATAAGCCAGAATAAAATTTTTAAAATACAGCACAATATTACTATAGTACTAGAAGTACTTGTGTAACTTGCAAACCTTATCTTTGTGCATATGGTGGAAAAGATATAGGTCATTTGTTGTTTCTTTTAAATTTTACCTTATTGTATGTGCAATGTAATTTGTCAAAAAGACATAGCAGAAGAACCTGGCATATCAAGTGTCTGGCTTTAAAACTAAGTGATTGTGTAGGCCCATGAAATATCTTTTTCATTTACATGTATTTATAGATAGTTGCAACCCATAGAAAATGTATGGATGGTTTTAACCCAAAGTTGGCATCCTTTCTTTTTAAGATTTGTAGTATTTTAAAAACTGGCCAATGCATACTGAAAAATTGCTGTCTTGTTTTGGCATGCCTTTATGCGGCTATTGTAGTAAACATTCAGCTAGGTGTAACTGTTTAAAAGGGTCAGTCAAGACTTTTTGCCTAATTTAGTTACTGTCTTGCATGACACATATCAACATAAAGAATTTGGCTATTCATATGACAAAGCCTAATCTGCTAGAATAGTTAGATGATGTTATTTGTAGCCTTAATTTAAGACTTCAGTGGATCTGTGATTTCACTGATATAGGTGTTCCTTCCATCATTGCAAATTATAATCTATGCATACTTTCTCATCCTAGCCAGTTCTTATCCATGTTGTCCCATAAATCCTCAACAGGCTATCCACCCAGTGTATTAGAGGCTTTTTTGTAGGTTTTATTTTTACATTTTGAGGGGATTGTTCATCCTTTGCACTATCCATTGGTTATCCCTCACTTTCATTCTGTGACTGACCCATCTCTTTTTTTCTGTTCACAAATGTTTTTCTGATATTACTTCTTTCCACAACCTACAGTAGAAAATTTCTGCTCAATTATAACAAAATGATTTGTTTTCTGGCTGTACAACTGTTTTGCTCTAACATAAATCTCAGGGATAGTAGGGGGATGTTTGTGTATGTTATTGTAAACATTTATTAATGGGAATTTTTCTCTCTCCCCTCCACCCCCTCAATGTTTATTGTTAGCATTGGAGAAACTAATACAGAAAAAAAGACCAAGAAAAAAAGGTATGTGTGGATTTAGGAACTTTGTACAGAATATATTATAATGACTGGAGGAAGAGAGAGCAAATAACTAGAAATAGTAACATTTAAATGTTAGGAGACCTGTGATTAAGCACTTGAACATCTTTAGACCTGCTCTTTTCCTTATTACCTTTTTTCCTTTCCACTTCTTCCTTTTCTTTCTTTCTCTCTTTCCCTTTTTTCTATTCCTCTATACCAGAAAAAAATAGAACTTTTTAGCTAGAAATAAAAAGCTTTATCAGTCCTCAGGAAAAAAAAAATTGTTCATGACTCTAGGACCCTTGTGTTCTACAGTAGTTAAACTTAAGAATGTTAAAATATTAACTTTGTTTTATAAAGTTTAGACACAAAATAATCCTGTTTGGCACATTGGAATATAACTATGACTCTTAACTATAGAATGGAATTCATTATGAGATAAGCCTATCTTGGATCCATGAAAGCTTAACTATTTAAGTACCAAGAGGAGACTTAGGTATATAAGGGATAAGATAATCCTGTATAAAGTAATCCCAAAACATGGAATCCCAGGGATAACATCTCAGTAAGGCTCTGATATGCTTAAGAAGACTTACTTTTCTCGAACATAGAAGAAACTACTCTCTTCCGTGTTTAAATAACAGCAGCTTCTTCCCATTCTGACCTTTCCTTATCTTTTAGGTCTAAGAGTGTTACTAGTTCCAGCAGCAGCAGCAGCGGGAGTTCAGCCAGTGATTCTTCATCAGAGAGTGAGGACTCCTCTACCTCTTCTTCCTCTGATGACAGTGATACTGAGGAAAGCTCTTCTACTTCATCCTCATCACCCTCCTCAACTAGTTCTTCCTCTTCCTCTGACTCTGAGTCAGACTCCAGCTCTTCCTCTAGTACCAGCTCCAGCACAGATAGCAGCTCTGATGATGAGCCACCAAAGAAAAAGAAAAAGAAATAGAATTGCTTTAAGCATCTCTGATCATTTAGGACTGATGAATTGACAAATGCTAATGTATTTCTCAAAAGAGGAGTTGGTATATGTTGTGGCCAAATGGATTAACTAGTCAAAATTTCTATAATTCAGAAGCTTTCTAAATGTTTCACATTTTAAGGGCATAAAGGTTATTGACAAAGTATGTATGTAAAAAGTATTTTTTTTTATTTTAAGAATTTTGTTTCATTTTTTTATCTTAAAAACATATCTTTAAAATTTAATCAGAGCTGAAATCCATTAAATCTGGTATCTATGTAATGAAACGTGTAAACTTTTTCTCTTTGTGATATAAATGCCAAACCTTGTTTATACATTGATATATTGTATATGCTAACACTGGTTTCACTTCTTTTCAGAATAATTCTATAAAATAACTGGGAACAATGAATTTCTAATGGTTTTGGCTAAATATTACTATATTAATCAGATTGAATACAGTGTTACTACTATGAAGGTGTCATCCCATTGTTAACAATGTTATATTTCTAAGTTTATCCTTAGAGGATTTGTTGTTTCTGTGATATGGGTTTTTTTTTTTAAACTTAATGTCAGAAATGAAATGTAATGAGATCTGTACTAATCTAGTAGATGTTTTTATTTGTGGGAAACAATTTGCAACTTGCTGGGGTTTCTATTTTATTTTCTTCTGGTTCCCTAGATGCTCAGAGCCATACTATTTTGGAGATAGAATATCTGATAGGAAAACAATCATCTTGAGTAAGCTAAAGGGAGAAGAAAAAGAAAATTGAAATTGCTTAGTTTAATCTTGGTGCCTTTTGATAAAAATATATGATAATAGAAGCAAGAGGTTGCATGAAAGTCTGGATTAAATGTTGGGGTTTTTTGGCACTTAAATGAATATATATACACATGTTATATAATCTGAATATATTCATTGGGTGAATGTGTGTGTGTGTGTGTGTGTGTGTGAAATCTGAAATAAAATGCTAACAAAGTTACCATTCCAGAAGAATGGCAGATAAGGGGGAGATGGGGAATGAAATAGAGGATTTTTTTTTTTACAAAGTTGAGACAAAATAAGTTGCCTTTTAATTTCAAAGTACCCAAAAGAAGATTCTTTCCCTATACTATTTTTGCAGTTATTGTGTTGCACAATTCCCATGGTACTGGCGTTGTAATGAAGAACATATGTTGGATACATCCAAAATGTTTACATAAACAGAACGTACACAGTTGAAATCCAGCATGAAAGATGCAGGTTAAAAATAAAGTATTATAGAGTTACACTTCTTAGTAGATAACAATTTGTTGTGATGAGTTTAATCAGTTGACAGTCATTTTTATCCTGTGATGTAGTCTTTTAAGTTGATTATTGATGATATTCCCTTTTTGGGGGGAGGATGCAACAATTGTGGGAAAAGTTTCAAATATCCTGATTTTTGTTTCACTGTAGTGAAAACTATGGATATTCAACTATTTTTATATTTTTATGAGAAAGTAGTGTAGAGTTACTTTTAAATAAAATGTGCTTCTATTTAAATGTTCAAAAATAAGTATCTTGTCAGTCTTAAGGAGTCAGTAATTATTTGTATGTTTTACAGAATCACTTGGAAAGATTGTAAATAAATTATTAGAACATTATTTGAAAGACTCGTGTTAAAGAATGTACCAGTTAACAGAGAAACAATAAATTATCCAACAAGCACAATTTACCAAGCTGATGTTCTTTGTAGATGTATTTATTAATGTTAGGAGCTGTAAGTCTAAAAAAGGAGTTGACAGGTTGTAACATTTGAAATGAAGTTCACAGCTTTTAAGTATAAATATTCTAAAGAATCAGCTTAATTTTTTTTTGGAGTAGAAGGCTTAAGGTTTGATATGAGAAAATATCTTGACTATTAAGGGCTAGAACTTTTAAAATTAGGTCTAGGAAGTTCAATTTGGGTGATCTTGGTTTATTAGGAGGTGGTTTTTAGCTCTAGTCTGGAGAGTCAAAGGCATGAATTAACAAGCCATTCTAAAAAAAACCAAGAAGTTGAATTACATGATTTTTTTTTTAATTTGGTTAGGCAATGGGGTTAAGTGACTTGCCCAGGGTCACACAGCTAGTAAATGTTATGTGTCAAGAGGCCAGATTTGAACTCAGGTCCTCATGAATCCAGGGCTGGTGCTCTATCCATTGTACCACCTAGCTGCCCCAATTACATGATTTCTTAAGCCCCTTCTAACTCAATCTTTTTTTTTAATTTTTTTTAATAATTTATTTTGATTCATCAACAATCACTTCCATAAGCTTTTGAGTTTTAAATTTTTCTCCCCCTCCTCAAGACAGTGCACAATCTGATATAGGCTTTACATATACATTCCTATTAAACATTTTCACATTAGTCATGTAAGGAAGAATTAGAATCATTAGGAGGAACCACAAGAAAGAGCAAACAAAACAGAAGAAAAAAATGGCAAATAGTATGCTTTAATCTGCATTCAAACTCCATAGTTCTTTCTTTGGATATGGATAGCATTTTCCATCATAAAACTTTTGGAGATGTCTTAGATCCTTGCATTGCTGAGAAGGGCTAACTAAGTTTATCAAAATTAGTCATCATACAATGTGACCTGTTACTGTGTACAACGTTCTTCTGGTTCTCACTTCACTCAGCATCAGTACATACAAGTCTTTCCAGGTTTTTCTGAAGTCCATCTGCTCGTCATTTCTTACAGCACAATAGTATTCCATTACATTCATATACCACAACTTGTTCAGCCATTCCCCAATTGATAGGCATCCCCTCAACCAACTCAAAAACTTAAGGAGTCTGTAAGACTACGAATAGTAATTTGGGATAAAAATGTACTTTTTAAACATATTACTGAATACTAAAACCAAAAAGTGGCACCTGAAAGATATAAATTTAAGATAAATTAACAGCAAATAGTACTTCACACAGCAGGTAGTCAAATTATGGAACTCATTACTTACCCCCTCCTGGCCAAGCATTGTACAAACTGAACAGGTTCCAAAAAGACCTGTCAAGAATATACTACTAGGCTAGATGAATCTTAGGTCTTGTTTATCAACCAAAAATTCTTTTTCTTTTTTTTTTTTTAATTTATCTTGATTTATCAATAATCACTTCCATATGCTTTTGAGTTTAAAATTTTTCTCCCCCTTCCTCCCCACCACCCTCCCCAAGATGGCACACAATCTGATATAGGCTATACATTTACATTTATATTAAACATTTTCACATTAGTGATGTTTTAAGTAAAAATTAAAACCAACAGGAGGAACCATCAGAAAGAGGAAACAAAATGCAACAAGAGAAAAAAAAATAGCAATTCGACTTCCATAGTTCTTTCTTTGGATGTGGATAGCATTTTCCATCACAAGGTCTCTGGAGATGTCTTAGATCCTTGTATTGCCAGGAAGGGTTAAGTTTATCAATATTGGTCATCACACAACGTGGCTGTTATTGCGTACATTGTTCTCTTGGTTCTACTCACTTCACTCAGCATCAGACCATACAAGTCTTTCCAGGTTTTTCTGAAGTCAGCCTGTTCATCATTTCTCATAGCACAATACTATTCCATCACATGCATATACCACAACTTGTTCAGCCATTCCCCGATTGACGGGCATCCTCTCAATTTCCAATTCTTTGCCACCACAAAAAGAGCTGCTATGACCATTTTTGTACATGTGGGTCCTTTTCCCATTTGTGTGATCTCCTTGGGATGTAGCCCTAGAAGTGCTATTGCTGGATCAAAGGGTATGCACATTTTTATAGCCCTTTGAGCATAGTTCCAAATTGCTCTCCAAAATGGTTGGATCATTTCATGACTCCACCAACAATGCATTAGTGTTCCAATTTTCCCACATCTTCTCCAACATTTATCATTCACCTGTTTTGTCACATTGGCCAATCTGATAGGTGTGATGTGGTACCTCAGAGTTGTTTTGATTTGCATTTCTCTAATCAATAGTGATTTAGAGCATTTTTTCATATGACTATAGATGGCTTTAATTTCTTCATCTGAGAACTGTCTTCATATCCTTTGACCATTTATCAATTGAGGAATGGCTTGTATTCTTATAAATTTGACTTAATTCTCTATATATTTTAGAAATGAGGCCCTTATCAGAGAGACTGGTTGTAAAAATTCTTTCCCAATTTTCTACCTTCATTGTAATCTTGGTTGTATTGGCTTTGTTTGTGCAAAAACTTTTCAATTTAATGTAATCAAAATTATCTATTTTGCTTTTCGTAATGTTCTCTATCTCCTGTTTGGTCATGAATTCTTCTGTTCTCCATACATCTGACAGGTAAACTATTCCTTGCTCTCCCAGTTTGCTTATAGTATCAGCCTTTATATCTAAATCATGAACCCATTTTGACTTTATTTTGGTATATGGTGTGAGATTTTAGTCTATGCCTAGTTTCTGCCATACTCTTTTCCAGTTTTCCCAGCAGTTTTTTTTTTTTCAAAAAATGGGTTCTTATCCCAGAAGCTGGGGTCTTTGGGTTTATCAAATAATATATTACTATGGTCATTGACTACTGTGTCTTGCATATTTAACCTATTCCATTCCTATTCACCACTCTATTTCTTAGCCAGTACCAAGCAGTTTTGATGATTGCTGCTTTATAATACAATTTAAGATCTGGAATGGCTAGGCCACCTTCCCCTACATTTCTTTTCATTAGTTCTCTTGATATTCTGGACCTTTTGTTCTTCCAAATGAATCTTCTTATTATTTTTTCTAACTCTATAAAATAATTTTTTGGTAGTTTGATTGGTATGGCACTGAATAACTAAATTAGCTTAGGTAGAATTGTCATTTTTGTTATATTAGCTTGGCCTACCCATGAGCAACTGATGTTTTTCCAATTATTTAAATCTGACTTTATTTGCGTGAAAAGTGTTTTGTAATTGTGTTCATAGAGTTCCTGGGTTTGTTTCGGGAGGTAGACTCCTAAATATTTTATAATGTCTACAGTAAGTTTAAATGGAATTTCTCTTTCTATTTCTTGCTGTTGGGGTAATATATAGAAATGCCGATGATTTATATGGGTTTATTTTATAGCCTGCAACTTTGCTAAAGTTGTTTATTATTTCAAGTAGTTTTTTACTTGATTCTCTGGCATTCTCTAAGTATAACATCATGTCATCTGCAAAGAGTGATAGCTTTGTTTCTTCTTTGCCTATTCTAATACCTTCAATGTCTTTTTCTTCTCTTATTGCTAAAGCTAACGTTTCCAGTACTATGTTGAATAACAGTGGTGATAATGGACATCCTTGTTTCACCCCCGATCTTATTGGACATGCTTCTAGCTTGTCCCCATTACATATTATGCTTGTTGAAGATTTTAGATAGATGCTATTTATTATTTTAAGGAAGACTCCATTTATACCTATGCTCTCTAGTGTTTTTAATAGGAATGGATGTTATATTTTGTCAAAAGCTTTTTCTGCATCTATTGAGATGATCATGTGGTTTCTGTTAGTTTTGGTGTTGATATGATGAATTATGCTGATAGTTTTCCTTATATTGAACCAGCCCTGCATTTCTGTCAACCAAAAATTCTTAACCAATAGCATTTATTGAAAGGGTAGTATGGTGTAGTGCATCAAAAGCCTGCTTTGGAGTTAATCCTTGATTCAAGTCCTGCTTCTGGCACAGGCTGACTGGGTGACCCTAGGCAAGTCCCTTAACCTCACAATACTCCAGGCATCTCTGAAGACTATATTGCTGAGAGGGTGCAGATATGCATTGGTTAAAAGAAATTCCTTACTGAGGAGCTTCTTACTGAGTATTTACTCTGTATTAATCATTGTGCTATGTGTTGAACAGGTTTTAATTTGTTCTTTTTCTAGTTTTTTTGGTTGTATGCCCAATTCATTGATCTCTTTCTCTATTTTACTCATGTAAACATTTAGAGATATAAAACTTCCCCTAAAAACTGCTTTCGCTGCATCCCATAAGTTTTGATAAGTTGTTTCATTATTGTCATTCTCTTGAATAAAGTTATTGATTGTTTCTATGATTTGTTGTTTGACTCATTCATTTTTTAAGATTAGATTATTTAGTTTTTTTCTTAGTCTATCTTTCCATGGCCCTTTATTACATATAATTTTTATTGCATCATGATCTGAAAAGGATGCATGTCATATTTCTGACTTTCTGCACTGGATTGTGAGGTTTTTATGCCCTAGTACAAGGTCAATTTTTGTGTATATGCCATGTACCGCTGAGAAAAAAGTATACTCCTTTCTATCCCCATTCAATTTTCAATCAAAGATCTACCATGCCTAACTTTTCTAAAATTCTATTCACCTCCTTAACTTCTTTCTTACTTATTTTGTGGTTAGATTTATCTAGTTTAGAGAAGGGGAGGTTGAGGTCCCCCACTAGTATAGTTTTGCTGTCTGTTTCTTCCTGTAACTCTCTAACTTCTCTAAGAATTTGGATGCTATACCATTTGGTGCATATATGTTTAGTAATGACATTACTTCATTATCTATGGTGCCTTTTAGCAAGATGTAGTTTCCTTCCTTATCTCTTTTGATAAGACCTATTTTTGCTTTTGCTTTGTCTGAAATCAGGCTTTTTTTTTTTACTACAGCTGAAGTATAATATATTCTACTCCAGCCTTTTACTTTTACCCTGTGTGTGTCCCTCTGTTTCAAATGTGTTTCCTGTAAACAACAT